AATTAGCCTTAAAAGTATCCCCCCCACCCCAGTTTTATTTTATTCCTGACCCAGACAATTACTCTCACAGCAACGTTGGTTCATTATGAATAATGAATTCAGCATAGAAGAGTTGTTTTGTTAAATTGAATTTTTTTTTTTAAAGTAGAAGACCATGATATAAAAGTTTAGCAACTAATTTTAAGGGCTTTGAACTTGTGAGGTTATGGATTCAGATTTGATGTGGAATTAACGGTCCCTAGTGGTGCTGTGGCTAGACGGTGGTTCTTGGTTTAAATCCAGCAGCCTCTCCTTGGGAGAAAGATGAGGCGTCCTGCTCTCATATAGTTCGACAGCCTCGACAGCCCTAAGGAGCAGGTGTGCTCTGTCCTGTGGAGGGCCACTATGACTTGGGATTAACTCGATGGCAGTGGACTTGGTTTGGTTTCTCATCTTTGTAAATTATAGCGACCTACTTCCTGGCCAACATGCTTTACTGCTATCGAAACGGTTGAGATTTCTAGTCCATGCAGAAGCACCTAGGAAGAAAGGCCTGGCAATCTTCTTTGGAAAATAAAACCAGTTAGAGAAACCTTGTGAAGTGCAATTGTACTGTGGCACACACACAGTATTTGCCATACGGCAGCATTGAAACCGTGGTCACTTGTTAATATATATTGTTGCCCAATGCTGGTATAATGTTGAGCTAACGAAGTTGCATGAACTCGACAGATTGTCATTTACACAATTGGAGTCCACCTTCTCCTTCACTCACGAATTGCCCTTGAGTCAGTTCTGCCTCATGGCGACGGCCCTATACGACAGGGTACAACTGCCTCTGGGTTTCTGAGACTGTAATTCTTTACAGAAGAAAGACCCTGCTTTCTCCCTCAGAGCAGCTGGCGGTTTAGAACTATTGATCTTTCAGATCACAGCTGAACCTGTAACCACTATGCCACCAGGGCTAGAATCGAAAAAACAACTAACTTGGGTACGTCTTGAGGGAATGATGCAGTGAAAATAATCCAGACTTAAGAATCATTACGTATGTATTAATTTCATTTCAATCATATTCTTAAAACAACAGCAGTGTCAACATGGAGGACGGAAAGGGTGTAGGGAGGAGGAGCCCATGGGTATACAGGAGCAGTAGGGAGGAGTCACATGGTGATGTAACAGTTTTGCATGCTAAACATGTTGGTGGTTGCATGAAGCTACACAGGTGACAAAACTGCATAGAAACACACACACACACATACACAAACGATCCTTTGTGAAACGGTTATTCAGCCCCTGCAATTTTGGAAATATGGGCCTGGAATTGCTGCGTTGTTTGCGGAAAGAAATTGGAAATTTGCATTTCTAATGAAAAATCCCCTGGGTTTTAAATACAAGTATACTTTGTTTATTGTCCACGATCCAGAACAAACCCATTGCCATCAAGTCAATTTCGACTCATGGGGATCCTACATAGGGTTTCCAAGACTATCAATCTTTTCAAGAATAATCTTTCTCCCTCAGAGTAGCTATGGCTCTCAACTGTAACCTTGTTGGCTAACACACACAGGGCCATCAGAGTTCCTTTAAAACTGTTAGGGGGAATTAAAAGAAAAAGAGCTGCTTTCCCTTAAAAAACAAAACGAGAACACACACACAATCTTATGTAAATTCATGTTTGTGGTCAAATGATGTCTGAACGGATGGTAAGCAACACATACCCATACCAGCCATGAAGTTACACTTTTTTGGGCACCGGGTAGGTCAAACTAAAGACCTGACAGGGCTGAACGCAGCCAAACAGCCTACTGTATTCAATTTCAGCTTCTGGGTGGGGGATGGGTTTGGTCTCAAATCAATCCCCCGTAGATTATTTTGGTAATCTCGGCAGACAACTCCTACTCTTGAAAAGATCAGTTGCAAAAGACTGAGTCATGGTCATTGCTGAAGAAGTAAGGCTTTGATCAGGCCACTAAGGCAAGTGTTCTGTCACCAGTCACTGACATTCAAGGACTCGAAACAGTGTTGACATGTGTGTGTCTCATAGTCTGAATGATGCCAGTGCTGGCGCAATCCTTCCCCCTGCAGGAATGACCAAGACCGTAACAAGCACTTCCTCAGCATGGGGCCTGGACTCAGTGCGCCCCCTAACCCCCACCCCCCAATCTATCTGAGTACACCCTTGGGCTATTTTCTCTCTTTCTTTTTTTTTTTTAAACATTTTATTAGGGGATCATACAACTGTTATCCAAATCCATACACACATCAATTGTGTAAAGCGCATTTGTACATCGTTTCTCAAAACATTTTCTCTCCATTTAAACCCCCGACGTTAGGTCCTCA